TGCTTCTGATATATATATATATATATATATATATATATATATATATATATATATATATATATACTAATGTTTTTCCTGTTTATGTTTTTCCTTGTTACAGTAATATTACTGTTTTTTTATATTATAGCATTACAGTTTGACTAACAATTACGACTTCATATATTCAAAATTATATACTCCATTATGTTATTTCAGTCAATGCACAAATGCACTCCATAACAATTAAGAAAACATATATATAACTTGTCTCTAATTGATGGTGTAAATGTAAATTATAAAGTCCTGGCCACTTGGGTAAATGTAGAGGTTTTGGAGTTCAAGTGAACGAGGAGGATTAGCCAGAGAGAGTTTGTAAAACTGTATAAGTAGGCTATTTATACTTGTATCCCACATAAAATGAAAGGTGAGAGCAAGTTGTTTGGATCCTAATCCCAAGTGAATTGCCAAATTTGACAAAGAAGTTTTTACCGATGATAAATTAGACAATAACGAGTGAAATACTAAAGGAGCTAGACACAAAAATTTTAAGTGGTTCAAATTAAGACATACGTTTACTGAGCCAACACGGAGGTGAAGATCTTATCATTCCAAAAATAACATAGATGAGAGTACGAAAATATAAAAAGAATAACCTTATAAAGTTCACTTTTGAAGAAATCACATATGAAGCTAGTTAATAGTGATGTCCCAAAAAATTTCTCCCTAAATATTGAAACGTATATCACTGCACTACTGCAGTATGCTACCAAATGAGAAAAGGAGTCTCAATTTATAAAAAGTTTGTTGTTTTACCACACCAACTATAGTAGATTTATATTCTCTCTTTTAGGATTAAAAAAAAAACTAATTGTATACGGTAAATATATATGTCATATTCTCCCTTTAAAGAAGAGAGAAAATCCAATATGATAAGAAGTACAAACACACAACATGATTTCAAATGTGTCAATTGATAACATTTGGAGTTGACTATGTGTAATGTTCAGTAAGTGCGTGATGGTACCTTTAGGATTTGCATGCACAAAAAACTAAATCAGATCTAATTCGAATTAAACAGTATAAGATGCTTATTGCTCAAAATATTCCTGATTGAAATTCCTTGCTAGAGAAAAAAAGAAGAAAATAAAAAGGTTCACCCTTGTGGCTACGGTGCTAAAATGTCATGTTCAACTTAATATAATCTCAGTGACTTTTTTCTTTTAAAGTTTACCTTACATATACCGCACTTAAAAAAATAATCTATATTATCAGGTCCATTTTACTTGTCGTCGTAGGAAACATTGGTTTTCAAATTATAAATTTCACTTTTTAAGAAGAGTAAACGAGTTTTTGACTAATATTGTCCTTTATCTTTGAGGGTAGGTCTATTTTGGTCCCTCAAATATAATCCTGAGCATATTTAGTCCCTTAAGTATGTTAAAGTTGAGCACCTTTAGTCTCACTGATACAATAAAAACTAACGGTGTTACCCAACTCTGATTCATGAAGTAAATCTTCTGCTTTGAAGCAAAATGTTTCCTCTCCTTTTATTGGATAACGTAAATTATCACTTTAATTCCTCAATTTTAAATAATGTCTTCTAAAATTTTGACCTTCAAAATATCCCCTTATGTGCCAGTTTTCAATGAAAAAATGACATTGTATAGCCGCTGTAAAAATAATAGCTGAAAAATATATAAAATTTGTATATTTTTTTGTATATATATACATTTTAAAAGTTCGGTTGACTTTTCCAAAAAGAAAAGTTAAAATTTGAAAAAAGTAGAGCTGCCAGGATCACTTCTAGGTATATTATTGAAGCAAACGAATAACCAGGTTGTATTATTATTTTTAACCCGTGCCAAAAATTATTTACATCTGGTAGCGAAAAAAAATAAAATTGTATAATTTTTGTATATTAACATACAGAATGTGTGTGTGTGTGTGTGTGTGTGTATATATATATATATATATATATATATATATATATATACAAAAAATGTACAAATTGTATATATTTTTCGGCTATTATTTTTACAGCGGTTATACAGTGTCATTTTCTCATTGAAAACTGGCACAGAAGGGGATATTTTCAAGGTCAAAATTTTAAAAGACATTATCTAAAAATGAGGAATTAAAGTGATGATTTGCGTTATCCAATAAAAGGAGAGGAAACTTTTGCTTCATGAATCAGAATTGAGTAACACCGTTAGTTTTTGAACACATTGTATCAGTGAAACTAAAAGTGCTTCACTTTAGCATACTAAAGGACTAAATTCAAAGTTATATTTGAGGAACTAAAATAGATCTACCCTCAAAGATAAGGAACAATATTGGCCAAAAATTAAAGAGTAAACACACACACACACACACACATACNTTCCAGTTCTTTTAACTACCCTATTTTCCCGTTAACTAGGTGGAGAAACAATAAAATTATGAAACTGAACGTCGTTACGACAACTGTTGACCCAAAATCCGTTATAACAAATCCTTCAAAAGTTTTTTTCCTATTTGGTATACCGGAAAAACTTCTTCCCTTAATTCCCTGTCCTTCTTCTTCTTCTTCTTCTTCTTCTTCTTCTCCTTTTCACTTTCCTCTCATCCCTCCGCCTCTCCGAAAAGCTATTCTTTGATGTAATTCTCCAGCAATTTGATGCAGTTTGTAAATTAGAATCGTGAAGATTCAACGTTAAAGGACGTTCAGGTAAGTTCTATTTTTAGCCTTTTTTGTCTCAATTTTCCAATATCTTTCTCGTTTTCCAGAGACAACAAATTTGAGGTTGTAAATTGATCCCTTTTGAAAAAAATTGAGGGCTTGCTCCTTTTACCCTTTTTTATGTGCTTCAATTTGGTGATGATCGTCGTTTGTTGCTGTCTATCAGAGCGAGAAAATTAAGGGTTTTTTTTAATTTCTCTCACTTATCGATACATACTGATATTATCGTACGATTGCCTTTGAAACTTCAAATTTCAAGAAATTGCATTTTATTGAATTTTTGTATGTTGCCTTGTTACGCATGCATGCATGCATAACGAGTTTTGAGGCTATTTCTCGTTGCCATTAATTAATTATCTAGCTAGCTATCTTTTACCACCAATAGGTTGTATCCCTCCGCCCTCTAAATCATAGGTCACGGGTTGAGCCCTGAAAATGAAAAAATTCTTGGTAGAAAGCAGTGCTTTTCCCTTTAATCGGCCTTATACGGTGCAAATCCGCATTAGTCCGGCTTCAAAGCGGGTATCGGACACCGGGTGAGAAACCAAACAAAATTAATATCTAGCGACCTGTTTCTTCCCCCTCACGTTTCATTTTAATTTTTTTGTTGGTTGAGGAAATGGGAAGGCATAGACTACAAAGAAAATACAATTCTGAAATTTCTAGGTGTTGTATTTCACTCTTTTGAGTAACATGGCTTTGGAACAATTGGAATTGGTTAAATGTTGTGGAGGGTTATATGCCGATTTACAGACTGTTGTACGGTTTGCAATGACTACAATCTGCTGACTCCTTATTTAATTTTGCCTCAAAATTGAATTGCAGTAACAGTGGTCAATACATAAGTAGTTGATGTGAATGGCCATATGCCTGATGTTTTGATGAACTCCACTCTCTATGCAAGTGATTTAATACAATGTTTGGTAATTACAAGTCTCAGCTTATTGGAGGACAAAAAGAAAAGTTTGTAAGGTATGCGTTTATTTGAAGCATTTCTTTTTCCCTATCTGTATATTCCCATATTTCTTCTCTATTCGGTCTATATCTGTGTCTGTATTTGTGCAAACTCTAAATGCTAAATTTCTTCTCCTGTCATCTTTGTACATCTGCCAGTTACACAATACAGAACATACCCCCATTTCGTTGCATTCTGAACTATGACCGATACATTTTGGCAAAATTACATCTTCCCGACTATGTAGAGGAGGACCTTTAACCATTAGCTTCAAAAGAAATTTGCTTAAGACCTCTCAATACCAAAGAGGACTTCCAAGAGGTTGAACAAAGTGCTAAAACATAATCATTGTGTATTATATTGGATTGTTTATCTTATCCTAAAAATACCTTATCAAAAACCAAGCAATTANATCTTATCCTAAAAAATTTAACCTTATCAAAAACCAAACAATTAAATTGCTGCATTAGGCAACTAGTGGATTCTTTATGCTCTTTCTTGTCTTTAAACACATTTTGCATACCGATACTTCTCTAATTGTGTCGCAGAATGTCAAGTACTGGGCATGCATATTTTATCACTTCAATTGTTTTGTCCTATATTGAAGCATATGCTTGTAATTGTTCAGACAGCCTCTAACCCCTAAATTCCTGGAGTGAACTAGTTGTCTATTATAAGTCAAAAAAAGCTTTCCTTGTTGTTTCTTGCAGGTTGGAAGACGCTAACTCTGACTTATCATTTAAGTCCGATATGGCTGGAAGGACAAAGTTTGGCTTTAATATAGAGGGGATGACTACTGGTGGGCGTCCAAACAACCCATCCAAGTCGATAAAACTAGGAGTAAAAAGAGGATCTGAGGGACTAATGACATTTGGCCGAACACTGAAATCTGGTGTTACCCGTGCAGTTTTTCCAGAAGATCTTAAAGTTTCTGATAGAAAGATATTTGATCCTCAAGACAAGTCTCTCCTGTTCTGGAATAGGCTATTGGTCATATCATGTATTTTTGCAGTATCTGTTGATCCTCTATTTCTCTTCCTTCCTGTTTTTAAGAGTGAAGGGATGTGTCTCCATATAGATGAAAGTTTAGCAAAAGTAGTAATCAGTATGCGGACAATACTTGATTTGTTTTACGTCATCCGCATGGTTCTCCAATTTCGAACGGCTTACATTGCTCCCTCTTCCCGTGTTTTTGGGCGAGGCGAACTTGTTATAGATCCCAAACAAATAGCAAGCAGATATATCCAGCGTTATTTTGTGGTGGATCTTCTTTCTGTTCTTCCTTTACCGCAGGTTCCTACTATTCCTTTGACCACTCTAATGTGCACATTCAGCATTCAGTTACCTTTCGGATCTACTGTTTTCTATTTGGAACTCTCTCTCTCAGACATGCATATAACCTATTTTACTAGTTGTACACAGCATTATACAAATGATACCTCTTTTTTCTATGCACCTTTTGTTCCAGCAATAGACAATCAAAAACAGAAAGTTAGAGGGGCACATATGCCTATAGCCTATTTTAGTACTAGTAGCCACAATAGACAGATAATATAAAAACATCTGGATTTCCTCAGGAAGCTTCAACTATAACTTTACCATTGTTTCTTTCTCCATAAGGTGGTATTTGCTTGATTTATGTCTTCAGTGCTTTTTTCTTCTTCAGCTTGCGGTAGCGAGATATCTTGATGGATCAAAAGGTTCGGATGTATTGGGTACAAAGAGAGCGTTAGTGGTCATCATCATCCTTCAATATATTCCTAGATTTTTGCGATTTGTTCCATTAAGTTCGGATTTGAAAAAGACTGCGGGGGTATTTGCAGAAACTGCTTGGGCTGGTGCTGCATATTATCTGTTGTGGTTTGTGCTGGCTAGTCACGTAAGTAACTTCTCAAGTCTGTTCATTATTGCATTTGGTAGTACTGTTAATTGCTTTTGTTTTTCCATTCTGGGACAAGAAGAATTACCAACTCATGTTGCTACAATTTATCGTGAATTCTTTTGCCTGATAAGGTTCTGACATAAAGTGACCAGTCATTACATAAAATAAGAATGTATATAATTAAAAAGATAAAACATCAGGCTACCATACTCTTAAGGAATCACTTTAGTATTTAGTGAAGCTTAGTTTTTTATCAAAATGCTTACTAAAAGACCCTTTATAAGTAGTTGGTTTTCCACTCTGCTTTTTTCTGGTTCTCGGACTAGAATATGGAAATTCTGTGATAGCTGTTCCTTTTTCTAGATTTCATAGTACAAATGTTATCCCCGCCAATATTGCTGTATTTGTAAATAATAATTCTGCAAAATATAAGTTAACGTA